TCTGTAACACTAAACAGTGACATTTTAAAGATCTTTGTCAAGTACCAAAAAGAGATATTTCAATATTTTATTTGCAATACTTTGATAACTGGTAAGGTTGGACATTTTTCATGTTTACTGGTCATCTGTATTCTTCATTTGCAAACTAGTCCTTTGCTCATTTATTATCACCAGATGACTAGTTTCTTTCTCACGTAAAATAATACGTGTTTACTGTAAAATGTATTGCAAAGTATTAATACTTGTCATGCTTTATAACCTGCTCCTTCGAGAACTCAGTCCGATATACTGTGTCTGTGTCGGCCGGCAGCCGTCCGGGCCGCCGTGGTCAGGGGCTGCGTGGCGTAGCCTTGTGCGGAGGAGCAAGACCTACGTTCCCCAGTCTGCTGGCCATGCGTGCTGAGTCTGGTGTCTCCGGACTAAAAGTGACTGAGTGACGACTGTGATGAGCATCTCATCCATTTGTTTTGCATACTCACCTGACCGTTTATGTAGGTGAAGTCCTGAAATAATGGAATTATTGGGTCGACAGGTACTGAAGCTTTTGATCAATGTTGGAAAATCTCCCTTCAGAATGGCCGCACCAGCTCCCAGCCCCGATGGCGGCAGGTGAGAGGGCTGATCTCACTGTATCCTCACCCACCGTGAGTATTATCATTGTCTCTCAATCCGCACCCTGGTACACCAAAAGGGTGTCCCCTGGTTCTGATCTGCATGTATTTAAACACTCAGCGAGGCTGGAGTTCAGCTGCAGGCCGCCATGGGCCCTCAGAGCTCCCCTGCGACCTGCTGGACCTTGGCCTCTGTCTTTCCAGGCGTCGTTGCCTCTTTTTCTCCTGTGATGTTTCATTGTAAAAGCTCTTTCAAGACTAAAGATTTAGCATTAACCGGTTGTCAGCCACATGTGTCTCTGTTTTTCATTTTCTTTTTGACTTTATTCGAGATAATAGAGAGAGAGATTAAAAGTACAGCCCCATTCACCAGGCGTGGGGGCTTCTGTTTGGGTGTCCTTTTCTGGCGTCCCCTGTTGCCCGGTACACCCATCTCCCAGCTGTCGTGGGCTCGGCTCCTGAAGGTTACAGCCGCCTCCCTCTCTGCGGAGTTTACGCTGGAGAGAGCTGCCGCACCTGTGGGACGTTAAGGGCCCGCCCTGCCCCATGCAGGGGTTCAAAAAGCCGGCTCTGGCTCCGGGAACCTTCAAGGCCTTCCTCTCCAGCAGGTGTTGTCAGTTTGGCTCCAATACACTCATTAAAAAAAAAAAACAACCCAGCTCCCTTCTCTGGAGTGAGGGCTAATTCTGATGTCAGGTTCACGCTCTAGAAGCTAGAGCCCTTCCTCAGTAAATCTTGAGGATCAAAGCCCTGTCTGAGGATGAGCTTCTGGGGAAACCAGTGTGACATTCTGTGAGGTGGGGATGACGTGTGTACCTATGTCGTAGGGTTGTTGGGAGGCTGGAATACCCATGGAAATAATAGCAATGGTGGAGATCACGCTGCACTGGCACGGACTAGGCGTGGTCCTGAGCACTTCCCGTGCATCAGCTCCTCTCGCCCCCGCGTCAGCCCGGGTCAGCCGTGCTCCTCAAGCACATGAAGTGCTCAGAACGGTGCCTGGTCCGTGTTTGGCATCAGTAAGTCTTAGCGCTTGTTATGTACCGATTCACTCTACATTTCAGATGAAAGAGTAAGCCTGTCAGTAGGCTGTTTCCCTGCACTTTGATGTGTTCTTATGCCCCTTTTCTTAGGTATTCCTTCAGAAAACTCCTTCCCCCTATTGTTCCCCCTCTTACTCCAAAAGGTGGAGCCACCAAGTTCACATTCTTGCTGAGAAACTTCACGCCCAATACTCGGACTTTCTTTGGGTCAGGGGAGCCCGATTACTCTCTGTAGACTTTGATGGGAAGGAACCCAGCAAGCGTCACTTGTTCGGTTATTCAGATCAGCCTTGACTCAGTGGGGTCATTTATAACTCAGAGAAAAGTCCGGCTACCCTAGCTTCCTCTGCTTTCAGTGGGAGAGTTGGAGAGGGGTCCTGTCTAGTTCACTGCAGTCAGAAATGGTCGTCTACAGGCGATTTCCTCCACTATCGATTCTGAAAAGTCCAGGTGTCCAGAAAAGGTAAAAGCGTAATACATGAATAGTACAAGAATAATATATATCTACACACACACACACACACATTCAACTAGACTCAATTGCTAACTTTGACTTGTATTTCTCTCGTGCTGAAACATTTGATTGTAAGTTGCAGAAGTCATAGTGCTTTACCTTTAATGATTTCAGCTCGCCTTTCCTGAAAATAAAGACATTTTCCTATAGTCCCATAATTCCATCCCATGTAAGAAAATTGACAGTTAGTCCATAGTACCATCTGATAAACAGTCTACATTCAAATTTCCCCAGTTGTGTCTGAAATGACTTCATGGCCTGCCTCCTGCCCTCTCTCTCTCTCTGATTCAAGGCTCCATCGAGATTCATCCGTTTTGGTTTGTTTCTTTCCATGACCATGCCGTTTATGAAGAGTCTGAGCTAGCTGTAGACTGTCTCAAATTCTGGATTTGTTTCAGAGTGCTCTTTTAAAAATGTATATGTATGAAGTTATTCCCATGCCTAAAACCTTCCACTGGCTACTGTAACATTTAGAAAAGACAGCCCAAATGCGTGACCCTGGCTCTGTGTGGCCTGGTGTGACTTGGTCTGGGAAGTTCTTCTCTCCCTCACTTTACTTAAGGCAGAGCGGCCTTCTCCCGGCTTCTCAAACCCACAAAACTTGCCCTCACAGTACTTTGCATTAGCTGTGCCCTTGGCCTAATGTGCTCTTCCCTGAGTTTGCTGGGAAGTTGGCTCCTTCTTGTAAGTCAGCTCTCAGTTTGAATACCATCTTCTCCCAGTGACTGGTCTTGCCTTGACCCTCAGTGTAAAGCAGCATTCAGTCACCTGCGCTCACATCACCTTCCTTTGACTGCTCTGTGTGGCAGCCATCACAGCCGGACATTTTCCTTGTCACTTACTTTTATTGAACTCCAGGAGAGCAGAGGCTGTATCCTGTCTTGCTCGTTACCATGTTCCCAGCACCTAGCACAGTTCCTGACACGTAGCAGAGACGAAATGCTTGCTGGATATCGTAATGACTAAGCTGAAAGCTGAGGGCTGGAAATACGCCAGCGGCTGAAAGAGGCTGGAGGGGAATATCCAGGCAGAGGGATGGGCCAGGGGAAGGGCCTCGAGAGGCCCTGAGACTTGGTCTGTTCCAGGGCCTGCGACATCCTGTGTGCTTGGAGGGCGGTGAGCCGGGAGCAGAGGGCAACACCGGAGGGCAGAGAGGTGAGCAGGACAAGACGACTTAGGGCTTTGTGGGCCACGGGAGGGAGTCTAGATTTTATTTTAAATCAAATGCAACGTCACTAACATTGTTCAAGTAGAAGAGTGGCATAATCTGATAGATGCCTTTAAAGAGATCATTTAAAAGATAATTCAACTTGAGTAAGATGGAGATAGCTACTATGAGCTTTGACGGACGGACAGAAGATCTGCAGGGGGGAAGTAATGATTCATTTGGACGTGTTGAGCTTGATATATTGTACTTCCTCCGTGGCTCTCGTGTCAACACCCAGAAAAGAATGTATGAGTAAGAAGGAAACTTAGTCCTACCTCTGAGATAGAGATAGCACAGCCAGCTAATTCAGTTGTTTTTAAGTACCTGAGATTGAGGTAGTTGTTGATAGTCACGATAACAGGTACCATTTATTTGAGCAACCAGGCATTCTGTTAACCACCTAAAACCTACCTCGCTGCCGCATAACAACCACCCTTATGGGAAGAAGAGTTACTGTCTGAGTTTTACAGTTGAGGAAACTGTGGCTAGTGAGGATAGGTGACTTGTTCCTGCTCAGCCAGCCAGTAAGTGGCAGAGGCACAACCCAAATGTAAGTCTAGTTTGATGCCAAAGCTGTTATTTTAACCAATTTGCCATAAGATGTTCCTAATAAGAGAAATGGTGTTTGGATCACTGGTTATGACCACCATTTGGAGAATTATGAAGCTGGGGGTTTCTTTCTTTAAAAAAAATTTTTTTTTTTTTTTAGCCCTGGCTGGCGTAGCTCAGTGGATTGAGTGCGGGCTGTGAACCAAAGTGTCACAGGTTCAATTCCCAGTCAGGGTATATGCCTGGGTTGCAGGCCATGACCCCCAGCAACCACACATTGATGTTTCTCTCTCTTTCTCCCTCCCTTCCCTCTCTAAAAATAAATAAATAAAATCTTTAAAAATATTTTAATTGTTCAATTAGGGGTTTGTAGAAACATTTAAATTTCATTCAGTGGAGAAATACCTATCTGAGAAATAATCTCATTAAAGCCATCAAGATTCTTAAGCCCAGAGGAATTCTAGTTTTGGTATTTTTGTGGACAAACTGAGACCTATTTTTTTAAAATTAACTTAATATGGAGAGGAAGTGAATGGAAATAAAAGTTCTTCTTCCCAGTGTACTTGGAACGTAGCTGCCTGTAACCGAGTAACACCGCCACCCAGTTTTCCCGGGAACCACAGAAGGTTGCTTTTTTAACAGCTGGACACGCCAGGACTGTGACAGCCCCCGGACTGAAGCTGCCTTGTTCAGACCTTCACACGGGCCCTCTGTTCCGCTCACAGAGCCCTCTTTTTCTTCGACAGCCGCAAATCCCGCTCGGGGTGCCCTTCTCCAGGCCTGGATGCGCCCTAAGGGCAGGAGGCGCTTGTTCGGGGCTCCCAACTTTTAAAGGGGTCTGGGCTAGACCCTCTCTGAAGAACTCTTTCTGGACAATATCTGTCGCTCCTCCACCCATTAGTGTTTGAAGACGAAAATAAGACAGGAAAGCAACTTCAAATTCAAGCTTGCGGACAGATCACGGAGCAATCCCCCCAAGTCCTGCTCAGGCCCCGCCCCTCCCCGCCCCCCGCGCCGACGATTGGCTGGTCCAAAAGACGCGGGGCGTTGTCGGTTTGAATGGGAGCCACTGGCATTGCGGCGCAGGCGCAGAGGGCGCGGTGGGGCGGGCGGTGCAGCAGGACCCCCGGGTGGCGGTGGGACCGGCCGGGCTGGCGGCGAGAGTCCAGGGAGCTCTGGCTCACGTGACCTGCTGGGGGCGGGGGGCGCGCTCCGTCCTCCGGCGGTGTGCTTGCCTGGCCGGGGGCTGGCGACGCGCGGAGCGGCAGCGGGGAGGGGACGCGGCCACCCGCCCGTCGCCAGAGGCTGCCGCTGAGGCTGCTGTGCCGCGTCCACCGCGGTCTCCGGACTCGACGACCCGCGAGAGGTGAGCTTGAGGGGCGTCTGAGGGCGCCCTGCGGAGGGAGGTGACGGGGAGTGTGTGTGCGTGTGGGAGGCGGGCTTTGGGTCCGGGGTCCGGGCGCGACCGCCTTTGTTCGCGGCGAGAGGACGACGGGCGGTCTGCGGGCACCCGCTCGGCGGGGCCGGGGGCCGGGGGCCGGGGAGCGCCCGCTCCGGGGCCGGACTCGGCCGAGTTCTTGTTGGAGATTTTAAAGTACGAGTCAGGCCGAACAGACGCTCTCGCTGGTGTTTTAACGTAAAAAGTAAGGTGGGATGCAGTGAGTGCTCGGGCACCGAGTGTCGAGTGACCAGCGGGTCGAGTGACCAGAGACTCCGGGGGGCGCCATCCCAGGCGGAGCGCGCCCACCTGCGGTCGCTCGCGTGCCGGCTGCACCTGGCGGTGCTAGTTCTGCCGAACACCTGCGTTTGCCGCGTTTCAATCCGGGACCTTGTGGGCCCCACCTGTCGATTTACCGTAGGAATTGGTCGTCGCTGCAACCGGTTTTAACAAGCATGGAATGTTCAGAAAGCCCTTTCCTGAAAGTCTGTAAAATATCTTCGAGGAGTAAAGGGCCGATCTGTCATTTCTTTATTTTAATGGTAACCAGTTAGATCCTTTTAACTAGTGTCATTTGACACTAGTTAAAATCCATGGAAGAACACGAGGAAGGGTGGAAATTTTGCCCTAATGCATAATTCAACGCTCGCGTCGAGTTAAACGCAGGAGGTTCTTGGCTTGCCTTTGTGCCAGCTCCTCGCCGAGTGTCGAGGGCGTACGCGGGGCGGACTCGCCGACCGAGCCGAGTTTTCCAGCGGCCACTTCAGAGGGCTGAGCGGAGGACCCACGGCCGGATAACCGCCCGCGCGATCGCCTCCGGGGAGACCCGCCCCAGCTTGCGCCGCAGCTGTTCGAGAAGCAGCTGCGGCTGATTGTTTGGAAGCGAGTCGGCCACAAGCAGCGGGGAGACCGCTGTCGGTGACTTGGGGGGCGCAGGGGGAGAGGGGCGGTCTCACACCCACGCCGCGGTCCTCCTTACCGTGGGTTCGCTCTGGCACGCTCTCTCCTGCTCTTATTTACTGGAGTGGAGCGCCTACAAAGTGACACTCGTGCGGTATTGTGGCAGAGGCAGTTCCCCGTAAATCCTCTTTGGCTAGATAAGCAGTTGTGGTTTTTGCTGTTGCTAAATTAGCTGTCGGGGTTACAAATATTATACTTGAATACAAATCGTTGATGTGGTACTAGGCTAAGGACAGCAAAGATAGCATACTGACTTTTTAAAGTGGCCTTGTTCTTAAACATAAAGCATTGCTGATATTTACTGAAAAGTTACAATTTTATAATGAGTTCTCAGGAATTTCAAAATCAAAAATCTGTAGATTTAGACTATTTTCAATCTAGTCTAATCCACGCCGTCTTTAAAAAAATAAATAGCAGTAGCTGTTATCATTACATTGCTCTACCTGGAGTACTTGTGTTAAGTACCAGCGCCAGGCACTGGGGTAGGTGCTTTTTAAATCGTCTCTAATCATCACAGCACATGCTGGCTAAGTGCCATTACGCCCAAACCAACTCGGAGAGTTTAGCTTGAGATCATATAACGAGTAGGTCGCTGTGCTGGTGTTTAGACCCAGAGCACACGCTGTGTTGCTTGGCTGGCATCCTCCAGGTCTCTGGATGCCATTTTGAGGAACATAATCCTATGTTTAAGATGCCTGAAGGTGCTGTGTTTTGTTTCTATATACAGAAATATTTCAGCCCTTCTTGTAGGACTACTGTGTTTTTTTCAATACCTTATAAATCCCATAATATTTTCAGTATCCTTTTTAATCATCTTTATAAAAATTGTAAAAAAAAAACTTTCCTGAGTTATTCACATGAGTATGAATGTACTCTTTGCTGTGGAGCAGAACTAGATTAAAGTGTGGTTTCCTCAATAGCATAGGATTCTTTGTGGCTTTGGAGTTCTGTTCTTCCCAGGCAAGAAATCAAAAAAAGTTTGTTGGTTGGACATCAGTTATGTACGAAGCAGTTTGCCCCTGGAGTTTTCGCAGTGTCTTTTTTCTGTCTCCCTGCCCTGCCCTGTATGTCGCTGCCAGTTTATCCTCCTCACGCCGATCCAGCTTTGCTATTTCTTTGTTGAAAAAGTTGTAAGTTCCCCCACTCTGCAAATACAAGGCCAGCTATATGTATCAGCCACATACATAGTCAGAGTCCCTCAGGATTTAGAGCCCTCCTTGCACCCCTTCCCCTCCTCCTAGCCGGCGTTCCTTCCCCCAACCCCCCGCTTTCTGAGCCATTCCCTCCGTTTGCCTAGTAGGGCCTGCCCGTCCTGCAAGGTGCCTTACCGATTTTATTGCTCCCAGAAAACGCTTCTTAGTCCTTTTTACCTACAAGTATTCTTCCCATGTCATCTCATAACACGGCTGAATTGAACAGAACCATGTTTCCAAAGAATAGGGTAGCTTTTGGAAGGAGGAGACAGTTATATTTTCCTATGAAAAACTGCAACTTCAAGCTCTCTGTGGTTCCCATTTAGGCATTTATAATCCTTTTGCATTTGGGATTTCTTTTTAAATTTTTACTTACCAATTTGAGAGGGGCGGGGGAGGGGGGAGGAGGAGGAGAGAGAGAGAGAAACATAATTTGTTGTTTCAGTTATTGGAGCACTCACTGTGCCCTGACCAGGGATCGAACCCACGGCCTGGGTGTATCGGGACCACGCTGTGACCCACTCACCTACCCAGGCAGGGGCTGGACTTATTTCTGTTTAAAGATGTGTTTGAACCCAGCTTTGCCTTGTTAGCGTGCTGCTGAGAGAACTGACGTGTTGCCATTAGAACGGTGCTCAGGTGAGAGGACCACTTGTTTTCTGCTTCACTGTTGCGTTTGAATTGGTTTGGGCTGATGGCGCACCAGCATAATGGCCGTGGGTCATAGTCTCTGGTGACTTGATCACCAGTTTTTCTAAGTTGTGTTTTCCCCATTGTTTACCAATAAGTATTTCTCTCTTTCTGACATAGCAATATCTTCATAAGACTCTTTGGAATTTTACTTCTTTGAGCTTCTATTATATCATGTTGATCCAATGATTCATATAGGCCCTGAAATGATAAAAACAAAGAAGTAAGTTTGCATTTATTAGCGAGAGGTTACACACAGGTAAGACAGGGCTTCTGGTGCTCTTTCCAGAAGGTGATCTCAGGGTGAGTGGTCAGTGCTCCTGAGGACTGTGGACGTTTTCTCAGGATCCCCTGGTCTTGTAACCTGAGCGGTCATTTGGGAAGCCCTGAAAATATAGTTGGCATTGATTAAAAAATTTAGAATGTCTATTTTGAAAGGCATCATTGTGTCTTTTATAACCTTGATAATGCTTCTGGGTATCCATAATTTTGTGTTTATAATAATTAACTAGAAGTTATTTTTCTCATGCAAGTTAGACACTTTCAAAAGGTTATTAATTTTACTAATGGATTAAAAGGACCATCTCTAAAACTGTTTTGTAGGAAGGAAAATTAGCATTATGTGTTTGTAAACTAGGGGCTTCAGTTTGATGAGAAATGAAACCAGTAGGGATAAAAGTCCTGATTCTAATACATGTATGTAAGCCCTTTTTCCTTTAGCTGAACATACTCATATTTTTAAATATGAATAAGGGATCTTGTGGGAGCAGGACTTTTGAGTTAATAGCGGCTTCACAGGGAAAAGGTAGCCAAGATTAGGGGTTTTGCATAAAAGCAATCCTCCTTTTGCCCTTGGAATTTTTAAGCAACGGCCTCATCCTCTGTCCAACGGTTATGATCACTGAGGACAGGGACTGCAAACAGTGGTGTGAATTAGTGTGGTCACTGGCGTAGTCCAGATGGACTTCACGTGTGATTCAAAAACAGAGCCCCTTTCTAGTTTACCCCCCAACCCCCGAAAGCATTCACCATGCAACTTCTTCCTGCGTTCCCACGGGCTGGCAGACCCCAAGAACCGGGAGGGTGCGTGGGCAGTGACTGCGATCCGCTGTGCTCGGTGCGGAGACCCGGGAGAGGGCCGCTGGGTCGGGGGTCCCCCCCCCCCTCCAGCGGGCGGGGACACCTGCACTCAGTCATGGCTCCCGGCTCAACAGTGCCTCGGAGATGGAGGCTCGCAGTGCTCAGATTGCTTTCCTGTACATTACGTTTTCTTTTAGGGTTTATCCGGTTTGAAATTTCATGTATGGCCTTTATTTGTATTGTGGTTATTCAGGGCATGTGCTTCGTTGGTATCCTTTTACCTCTGTGTGATGGATAAAAATGTGTTCCTCACCAAACAAAGGAAGTTTACGATTACAGTAGTCCCACTTATCCTGAGGGGCCTGGGTCTGGGAGCCCCCCTTCGATCCCCGAAACCAAGGAGGGCACTGACCCTGTGTATGTCAGTGCCGTGTTCGTTCCTATACACACACACACCTTTCCACATAAAGAGAGCGTGTTACTGCTTCTCTTTGTCATATCTGAATTGCCAGCGTCTCCGCCCTCTTGTGATGGGGCCACTGTTAAGCAACATAAGGGTGATTCGAACACAAGCCCTGCAATAAGTCGATCTGATAACGGAGGCGGCTATTAAGCGACTGGGCGGTGGGAACTCGCGATGGACCACACGGTGGACCATGGGACCATGGAGATGGCTTGGTCCTGGCTGGCTCGGGGGGAGGTGAGAGACTTCACCATGCTCCTCAGAATGGCATGCATCTAAAATTTGTGAATTGTTCATTTCTGAAAATTCCCCTTTAACATTTTTGGACTGTGGGTAACAAACTGCGGAGAGCAAAGCCGTGTGCAGGGAGGACAGTGGTAGGCTAGTTCTTCAGACAGTTAGCTTTTAGGTGTCAACATTTGGAAATGAAAAGGAATTCTTTTTTTAAAGATTTTATTAATTTTTAGAGAGGGGAAAGCGAGGGAGAGGAACATCACTGTGTGGTTGCCTCTTGCACGCCCCCTACTGGGGACCTGACCTGG